AGCAAATTAAATATATTCATGAGTAAAAGTTCCAAATATTTTATCTGTTGACCTTTACCATGCACTGTAAAATTGGTGTTGTTGCATAACTTTAAAAACAACAGTGCTGGAGTGTGGGGCCTGATTCTGGCTTCAGTCACATCTGATGGAGGGTGAAGCTCTGGATGCTGAGAGCTGAGTGGAGGCATCCTTACATTGCCCTCATGCCCACAAAAACACTAATTCCTGCTATTAATAACAAGGACAATGCTTATTGATCTATTCCAGATTACACACTGCTCTTCTAGGCTCGGCCCCTGAGTCAGGGAAATGGGTGAGGAATTGATGGCAGGATAAAATGTCTCCTTGGAAGTCAAATTTGTGATTTGAATCTTCCAAATCATTGTTGCCAGGATAATTCATTTTGTTTCGTGACAAAACACTGTGGTCTGCAGTGAGATTTAACTCAGGCTGGTGTGACTGAAGAATGTCCTGATGAATTGTGGGCAGTAGTTCAGAAGACAATAATAGATCCTGAAAAAAATAAACCTAAAATGACCATTAATGCTGTTTTTCAGGAGAAACAGCTCTCTTATTTACAGGATGTGAAGAGGGATGATGAAGAGCTTTTAGACAGAAAGTGAAACAACTCTTAAAACATCTTAATGCCCTCAGAATTCCACCTTGCCCCCCTCTTCCTGGTCCTTTATGATTCCAATCTCTTTTGGGTGAAAATGCTACAGTGAAATATATTATCCCTTTTATTGTAAGGAGAGAAATAGAACACTTACCGAGCAATTTAAGAGATGCAAGTGAACCTAATCACTCCTGAAATCAAAAGAAGTAAAGAGAAAATTCTTTTTTCCCCTCCTTTTGCCTGGTAATGAATGTGAATACTTAGTTTAGGACTCCTTTCCCCATTCTGTCTCAACAAATGAGCACAGGCAGGGAATAGATCTTCACATTGCTGCACTGCTCCCAGCTCAGAGCTGCCACTCCTTCATCCCCTGCTCCATTTCTCTGCTCTGCACCAACTTTTTAAGTGGTGTTTATCAGCTGGTGCAGTCCTCAGAATGGTTCTTCTGCTGATGGAAAAGCAAATGTGAGGAGGAGGAGGAGGAAGAGCTTGTGTTTCATGGGTGTTGATATTCCCGACAAGCCACAGAATTCCTTCAGCTTTGTCTCAGGTTTTGTTCTAAGTGGGTCATTCAGCTTTTTTGCACAGCAAATTCTTGGGATTGTGGCTGCTCTTCTGCCCCCAGGGTACTTGGTAGCTTAAGTATCAACTGGTTAGAGAGAGGGTGATTTAAACAGGTCAAAACTGCTCCTAAATCAGCATGGTTGAATGCCTTACTTAAATGAAGATAAGGAACTCACAGGATTTTTGCTGAAATCTGAGCCAGGCGTGGACTTTGTCAGCCCTGCTAGTGCTGGAACCCTCCTGGTTGGTACTCACAGGCAGAACATTTTAACAGAGATTGTGAAAGAGTACAAATATCTCCTTCAGCTTTGCCTGTTCCTGTGCAAGGCTCTCTGTTTCCAGTGGCTGTGACAGCCACCAGCCTGGCAGGTGACGAGGAGGGGACAAGGGGGTTCATCCCTCTGTTCATTTTGTTGTGGAAACTGGTAAAAAGCACTTTTAGAGAAACCTTTTGGCAGCTTGCAGGTGAGAAGGAAGCTGTCTGCATGTGAACAATACACTGTATTTGATTAATTTAAATTACTAAGGAATCAGCATAGGTTGTTTTTCTTATAGCAAAATCAAGAGAGCGATTGAGATCCTGTTAATAAGATTTTCTCAAAAACTCAAGGCATAAAGGAAATAGCTGCTTGATGCAGCGGCATCTTTTCAATTCAGATGGATTCTAATGATGAATAGGAACATCCACAAACACTTGTTTTGTTTTATTTTCACTTTTAACATGTCTTGATCATCAACAAGAGCTATATGAATAAATATACCTGCTGAAACACTGAAACAGGCTCTGTGGCATTGAGAGCGTTCCTCCCCTTGCAGTGCAGCAGCTGGAAAATTATGATCCAACCACAGTGACACAGTTCCCCCCCATGGAGCACTTTTGCAGCAAGACATGTTAAAAGCAGGAATAAGATAAAATGTTTTTGCAGGGCCATTGATCTCGTGTTACCTAAAAGGAGTGAATGCAGGTGTCAGAGCTGACAAAGTGCTGAGCTACCCCAGCCCATGCAAAGCTCAGCACAGGAGCAGGGCAAAGCAGCCTCAGCAGATCTTGGCCCAAATTATGGGAGGGAGGAGAGCAGGTGACCTTTAGAACCAACAGGACTGTAAAAGCTGTCAGGTTCCCTAAAACAGCAGAGCTTGGATGACAACCACGAGCACGTTTTCTATGAAAATAGGAATTTCACTCAAAATTTAAAAAATTGCTTTCAAGCATCAAGTGTCCCTGCCAGGCAATATCAAAAAAATGGAGTTTTATTGCCTAGTTTGAAGTCTTAACACAGAGAGTTTTATTGCCTAGTTTGAAGTCTTAACACAGAGGTTCTGGAACAAAAGTGTTCACACACAATTATCTGTGGGGATTGCAGCAGTGTTGATCATCCCAGTCTGGTGACAGACCTGTCTGGATGACACAAACCCGAAGCATGATCTGTAGGGATGACGATGATGATAATAATAATAATAATAATAATAATAATAATAATAATAGATTCTTTCCCTCTGCAGTCTGTCAAGTCTTTTTCTCTTTTCTCCCCTTTCTTTTCCCTCTTCTTCCCATCCCCTGCAGGGTGAGGTCCCTTCCAGCCCTGGTGTTTTCCTGCAGAGGCACAGCGAGTCAGCCCAACTCACCCCTCCCCACCAAATTGGTGGGAAGTCTCTTCAAACCAGTGATCTTTCTGTTCTGAATAAGGTTTTAAAATATTTAGACTGAAGCTTGAAGACAGCACTTGTGCCACATTCAGTGTTGACAGTCAGAGTTAGAAGCAGAGCAATCCACTGACGGAAATAATTTGGAAGTAAACTGACAAATTCTGTCTGGTTTGATTTCTTTTGTTTTCCTAGCCATGAATCATTCAGGAACTGACAGAATATTCTCAGAACACACCTTACTTTCTCTCAGACAGGCAAAACTCTCTTCTGCTGGGATGAGTTGGTGCCATTTGGTGAGATTTTGATGAAAAAGTGGGAACTCTTGGCTCCCAGAGCTCTCCTCCCCTCTCCTCTCCAGCTGTGCCTGCAAAGGGGATTCTCTGTGGCTGCCAGGGACTTCAGTTGCTCATCAAGAGACTGATCTAATCTCATCTAAAGCTCTCCTGTGAGAGGGAGTTTATATCACTGCTGTCTGGGAGGAACTGTTGCTCAAAATCCATATTTGGCTGTTTTATTTACATCTGTCTGGCAGCTCACCGAGGGAAGTGTATTTAGATGTAATTTTTCAGCCATTTTCAGGTCCAAAATGAGACCTTAGACAAAGGAAAATGCGTTTTTGGGGTGATGAACATGTCATGAGAAAGTGATCTTCCTTGACTTGTTCCTGTCCCTAGCATTAAATATCAGACAGAAAATGAAGAAGGTTCCAGTCAAAGACTGATCTGAGGTGAAACCCAGTGTGAGGCCCCCTCCAGAATTTAAAATATTCAGATAAATCAAGCTTGTCCATGACCATGGGGTAGGAATATCTGTACAACTTTCAGCTTGAGGAAAAGATGACTTTTATATTAAGTCCTGCAATCCAAGTTTTCCATTTATTTCTTCTGTGTGTTTTTCAGATGCTGTGGTCATGGTTAGGTTTAAGGGTTGGGTTTTTTTTCTCTTTCCATAATAATCCATGTTTTCTGGTCCATGAGATTAAGCGAATTGACACTAAATAAAAACTAATTAAATAATGTGATTATAAATTGTTTATCCTCAGAGAATAGATTACAAAAAAAAAAAAGTGAAAATAAATGGTGTCAAGATGTAGTCTGAACCACAAAAATAACAAATTCTTGTAGCTTTTGGCTGTCAGTAGCCAGCTACCAGCTGAGTCAAGATGCACCCTCATCTCCTGCCCATTGCCTTTGAGCAGCAGTTATGGATTAAGTCTGACAGAGTGAAAATAAATGGGAGAGTGTAGCTGAAGCCAAGCATTTATCAATCCTGGTTGTACTCTTTGCAAGGCAAGCCTGATACAATTTAATAAGATAACAAAAAGCTTAATGGTGCCTTCAGGATGTCAAAATATGGATTTATGCTCTGGATCCTTGCTACTACTCTTAACTTGATGCATTTTAAGCTGTTTCAGGTTTTGGGTTTAGCATCCCTGAGTCAAAAGGTGCAATAGGAATCATTTTTTAGGTATTAAAGTGAATACCCATGCATGCCTATGGCAGAGGTATTCAGAACTGCCAGGTGTCATAAAATGGGGGGAAGATCCAGAGAAAGCATTGGGATAACAGGTCTGCTCCCTCATTATTGCTCATGTTGTGCTTTACATGCTCCAAAAGCTTTGCTTCAAGCAGTTTGGGGATTAAACCTGTGAATGCAGGAAGAGAGAGACCCACAATAAACTGAAAGAACATTTCCTTACTTTTTTTTTCCCCCCCTTTTGGAACTGGAGATGTTATTGTGGCCTCGCCTTTGTCTGCTCTTCGTTACATTTAAAAGGAACAAACAGGATGCCATCATCAGCAGGGTTATTTTTCTATCCCTCATTTAATATCTTCACTGGTTACCAAACCTTTGACTCCAGTGACATTCCACTGTGTGGGTTTGGTGACTTTTTGCTGAAGAGCCCTGTGGATTTTCACAGCACAGAACATATGGGCCTGTCTGCTGCCTGTAGCATTTCTCTCCAATGAGAGAAAATTAAACAATTGCAGGTGGGTTTTGTGCCTGTGTGTAATAAATACTATCAAGATATCAATCACTGGTTAAGGTAACCTTTTGGACTGCACAAAAAGAATCCCTGTAGTCTCTCAATGACTATTTATCATTCTTTTTGAGAGTGATTTTGATCCAAATCGATTCTTTTCTTGTGCTACTCTATTTTTATGCCCTAGTCCATCTTTAATATACACCGTGGCACTATCTCTTCTTGAGCATGCAAGGACTTTGATGAATGCACTCCAGCCACCACAGTTTTTTCATACCAGGTATCTATTGATTCCCATAATATCAACTTTCACCACTGGCACCACTTGTTAGAATTCCTCTGCTTGGTTTTAAAAGCCGTCTGTGCTGCTCAGCTCTTTCCCAGCAGCTCTTTTCAGGATTCTCTGTGGATTCTTTGATCAATCCCACCTGCCCAGCTCAGGAAGGACGTGTCCCAGTTCCTGCAGCTCCCCAGTGAGGTACAGCAGAGCTGCCCCACAGCTCTCCCTTGGTCCTGAGCACGGAGAATCGAGTGGGCAGCTGGCCCTGAGCAGGATGATGTCCAGTGCAGAGAAACCAGCCAGCTCTTTCTGTCAGAGGAAAGGAATGGTTTGACCTTGACCTGGTTCAGAGATGATCACAGAGCAGATTAAAGGGCCTGAGAGCTGTGTCCAGCCATGCTGCAGCTGTGTGTGAGTGACCATGGCTCCATGGTGACCAGCTCATGTGAGTGACCATGGTGAGCAGCTCAGGTGAGTGACCACACTGCCATGGTGACCAGTTCACATGGGTGACCACACTGCCATGGTGACCAGTTCACGTGGGTGACCACACTGCCATGGTGAGCAGCTCATGTGGGTGACCATAGTGACCAGCTCATGTGAGTGACCACACTGCCATGGTGACCAGCTCATGTGAGTGACCATGGTGACCAGCTCGTGTGAGTGACCATGGTGACCAGCTCATGTGGGTGACCATAGTGACCAGCTCATGTGAGTGACCATGCTGCCAGGCCTGCTCCTGCCACTGGCACAGCTGGAGGACACCTCCACCCAAACCAGCTCCTTTCCTGGTGGGGCTCCCCCATCCCCTGTTCTCACAACGCCACACCTGAGAGCTCATTGAATTTATCTGGCAGCAAGTGGGCTTAGGCTGAATTTCCATCACATGCCAGGGATGCTCTCCTGCTCCACATCCACTGCCAGGGAAGGAAGGAGCCCAAGGATCAGGGGGTGTTCTCAGTGCAGCAAAAGCAGACACGATTCTGCAGCGTGGCTTTGCCTGTAGTAAATAACTGCATCTTATACAGCAATGAGCATTTTCCTGTTTGGAGACCGCCTGGAAATACCTTGGAAGCTGCATTAGAAGGAAGAACATTGAGTGGGGTGGTCCTCAGCAGCCACAGCTTTCAATTGTTTAAGAATAAGGCAACTGAGAGGTTCTACGTGCAGGAACTGCACTCCCCATTCAGTCCCTCTGTTCTTTGGTTGATTTCCAGCCTTCTGGGCCTGCTAACCCCTGATTAAAATTGTTAGAGCATGATTTTCCAGTACTGTTTTACATAATAAATTGTCTATTGTAAACCAGCACTTTTCACCACCAGCCATTGCGATGAGTGCTCCTCTGGAGTTTCATGTATGAGGCATGAGGTTGTATTTCTAAAATCTATTATAATCCACTGAAACAAAAAAATTACTATTTTTTTTTACTATTTTTATTTACTGAATTTATTTATTTTAATTTTATTTCTTTCATTTACTATTTTTTAACTATTTACTATATTTTTTGCTATTGATAAATGCAATTTTTACTAACTTACAGAAATATTACTATTTATTAAGGAGTTAGGTCAAGTCTTTCCACTTTAGAAAAAGTGACAATATATCTTAGTGAGGTGAGAGCTGATAATCATCTTTTCTATGTTATATTTGTGCAGATTCCAAATGCATTTATCATTTCACCAAAACATCTGTTTTTTGAAAACAAGTTAAGAAAAGGAATATCATATATACCAATTCAGTTGCATTGTAATGAGGAGAAAAAAAATAAAACCAATGAGATCTACAGGTTTTTAATGAGTTCAGCACTCTTCCTCTTTGCATTCATTATTCAGTGGGTTAAAGAAGCTTTTCTTCAAAGCAGGTGCTGGTCTTGTTTTCACTCTTGGTGAAGAAATACCTCCAAATGAAGCCTGTAAAAGTTGTAAGGAGTACACAGCTGACCAAAAGTCGAGGACAATAAGTGGTGAAAAATGGCATTTCTGCAGAAGAAAGGAGAAACCTGGGCAATCCAATGCTGAACCTTCTCAGTACAGTTTGGTACTGAATAAAAAGCATTGATTGCATTAATTAGTTTATGTTTTTTTTCTTAAATAGAGCTTTTTATGCATGGCACTCTTAGAAGGAAGCAAACAAAAATATGCTCTATTAACAGGCTTTTCCTTCCTCTTCTCAAGCTTATGAAAGGAGCCAAATCCTTCCAATTCAGTTTGGACTGACCTTTATGTATTTCATTTTAGTTTAAAAAAGCCCTAACTTCAGTTCACTGGATTGTGGGCTAAACATTAAGGTGAGCATGGAGACAGCCCAGTTTTAATGAATAATGAGCTAATTACATTGAGTTCTGTCTCAAATGATGACTTTAAACCCATTTTTCTCAGTGGCATGCTGTGCCTTCTATCCCGCCTGAAATTCTTTTTCTTTCTGCACGGGAGTAGAAAAGGCAGAAGTGACTGAGGTCGAATGTCTCACCTGATCCCTTAATGAAAAATGGATGTGGTCAGAGTTGCAGCTCTGGAGATGTGACAGAGCTCTTGGCAGGGAGCAGGCAGGCCCAGGGGACCCAGACGAGCTCTGCTGGCTCCTGGGCACTTGTAGGAGATGTAGGGACCACGTCCTCCTGTCACCCGTGAGAAATGGAGCTTGCACTCAGCTCAGAACCCTCCAACCACCCTGGAGAGCCAAGGGGCTGGAAGGAAAAAGAGGATTTGGTGGAGGCTGTGGCAATGGCAGTGAGGAAATGAGCGCTGAGGAATTCAGGGGAATTCACAACACTGCAGCAGGGGAATGAGAAATTGGAGCTGCAGAGGATGGAGCAAGGAACGGGAGCCAAGGCTGAACACTGTGAGGGGATCAAATGTGCCATGAGATAATTACCTGAGCAGTTTTCAGGTGAATAGAATGCTCTGTTCCGCTTCCTGGGAAGTCAGATAATTTAAAGAACACCCGTGAGAAAAGCTCTGGTAACAACAGGCTGGCACTTTTTTTGTTGTTTGAACAATATTAAGGCTGAACTAGCACCTCATCATTTCACTGAGCAGTGGCCTATTGTAAGTCACAGATTACAGCTCAGAGAAGAAAAGAAATACAAATAGTAGGATTTATAGAAAGCAAATAGTCACTTTGTCTATTAAGGGAGAGTCAAACTCAGTGCAAGGGAAGGGTGAAATCAATATGCTGTAACTCATAAATGTAAAGGCAGTATAGAAGAAATATGGGATGATTTGAAGGTGAACTCACTACAATGATCACTTTATTTTTAACACAGTAAGTAGTCTAGTGGCTTCAGTAGCAAAGATGAGAAGTTTCTAAAACGTAATAAAACTCTCAGAAGTCAGAGCTTTTCCTTGGGTCACAACACAAAATTTGTTTTGAAAGAAACACTGTCAGCCATGCATCAGATCCTTCAGTGTTCTGGATTTCTCTTCCCGTGTCTCTTTCAGGAAGAACCAGACTATTAATAGAGACTTCTTTGTTTGATTAATCATTAAAAGAATGGCTGTGATTTCTTTTGTTCCCTTCACAGGAATCCATGCAAATGTAGGTATGTAACCTTCCTTCTCATGATTAACAATTTCAAAGGCATGGCCTGTCTGATTATTTAATTTTTTTTACCCTGAAGTGCAAACTCAACAATATTATGCACATTGAGGAACTTTTGCTTCAGATTTGCTTTGTTCTGATCCCTGGGACTAAATTCCCATTTACAGCTGCTGTTCCATCATGTGAAATAAAACACAATAAGTGGGGAAAATAAGTTCATATATGGAGGTTTCTTGAGATTGAATTACTTAAAATAATAAAGATCTTGAGACAAGGTAATCCAAGTAATGAAATAAATATCTTAAGATCTTAAGCTATGCAGATTCATTGAATTTCATGTTTATTCTTCATTTCAGGTTATCTGCTGTTTATTCCTCTGTGAAGCTGGCAGGTCTGAATAATCAGCTTTTAAAGGTAACATTCTATATAGTAATATCAAATTTATATTTATTTTAAACTCATGCAAAAACATACTTACAAAACTGAAGCTTCTTGGTCTTGCCTTTGAATGCCTTTCATTTCTTTGCCACAAAGAGGGAGTGAGAAGCAGATAAGAAAAATGTGTTTATTTCTCCCTGAAGAAGACTGCAGGGAAAACCCTGAAATGGCCTTGTCTGTAGAAGGGACCTTTAGACTGTGAAGAGTGGCACAAGACAAAGAATGAATCTGTTTGTCCCTAAGTGCAATAAAAAGCTGAACAAGCTGAGATCAGAAGCTAATCCATGGTGGCACTTGATGTATCAGTAGCTCATGTGAAATGACGAGTTGGAGGAAAGGCCATGAAGGCACGTGAGAGGTCACCTGGGAAGTGCTAGAAACAGGGGAAAAAAATAAAAATAAGAAGAAAAAAAAAAAAAAAGGGAAAGGATACAAAAAGAGGAATAGAGAAGAGTTCTTTGCCAAAAGATTTCAGCTGTCTGTCGCTGAGCTGAGTCTGGAGGTGCAAAGTCTGCAGCAAGGTGTTGCAGATGTGAGGTGAAGGGCAGAGCTGGGTGGGTGGACACAGAGCTGGGAGCTCCCAGCCTCTGCTTTCCAGGTGAGAGACCTGAGCAGGGACAATCCTCCTGGGCCACCTCCCTCATGGTCCTGTCTTTGAGCACAGATTGCTCTGGAAGAGAAGAAGAATCACAGAGGCACAGAACATTCAGATTTGGAAGGGACCCACAAGGATCACCACATCCATCTCTGAGGTGACAGGGATGGCAAAAGTGACCACAGGAATGCCTTGGGGAGATGCTGGGACATTTGGGGACAGGAGGGGGTGGCTAAGAACCCCCAGGCTGCTGCTGGATAGCTTTTGCCACCTTCAGCTTTTCACGAGAAGGTCTGGAGCTTGAATAGAAAGTCAATAGCTCTTTCTTCCTTATCCCTTTACCAGATCATCTCAGAGGAAAGTGCTGCTCTCTAATTCTGTAAAGAATTGCCCAGGAAAATCAAGGAATGCTAAACTTAGCAAGGATAATGTTTCTGAAAGCTAATGGAGGGAGGTAAAAACCTCTCCCAAGAGCAAGGCAGAGCTTTTCACACTCACTGTAAAGCCAAGGGACAGAGCTGCACCTTTCCCATCCTGGCAGGGAACTCCTCAGTGCTCCATCCAGATCCCTCACTAGTTAACTCAGCCAGGGGAGCTCAGATCAATCCTCCTCACTCCAGCCATGCCTCCTTCCAGATCAATAATGGCTGATGAATACTCTGTCAAGCCCATAGCACAGACACAATGGAAATGCTGCTCTTTACAAAGTGCCTTTGCAAGCCCCTTGGAGGAGAGCTGCTGCTGCTGCTGCTGCTCTGCTGAATCTCAGCATTTCCATTCTGCATTTGACATTCTGCAGAGACAGCCCTGCTCTCCTAACCTGCACCTTTCTGCTCCAGGAGGGCTTAGCCAGAGCTTTTTTACTTCATTTGAGAATGAATTCAAACACACGATCTATATTGTTCTTATATTTTTTTTATTTTTATTTTTTTTTTTATTTAGGCTCTGCTTTTGCAACAGCTGCAAAGTTGTTTTTCCAAATAATGCTCTGATAATTGGATATTTTCTCGAAGCATAAAGTTCTGTAAGCAGTGCAAGCTTTCTGAATTAAAACTGAATTTGTCTGCAAAAAACTAAGAAAAAATTAGAAAGTTGGAAAGTTCAGATGGTTCACATTCATAAATCAAATCCCTTAATTGCACTGAAGTACTAAAAGGAGAAACACTTTTGTCAACTTGAAAGTTAAGATGCACTTTTTTTGGGAATTCAACCCTTCTTGATGTGCATATTCCCAGTAAATCTATTCCTGATTCTAATCTACAGTAGCGTTGTCCATAATGAGAAATTTTTTACAAGATACTCTCTCAAAAATCCCCGGTGATTAATAATAAATATCTCTTTTCAACAGCACATGAATCTACGATAATGAAATAAAACTGAAGTTGCAACCACAGCACTCCAGCCTAGGCAAACAGACTTGGCAGTTCTAAGTACAGATTTATGTCTGGAAGGATGCATTCTCCTTGAAGATGTTTGTGCTACTTATCAGAAAGAGGAGATTTCCTGGAGATTTCCTTTAATTAGCTGGAACAAGTCATTAGTGAAATAAGCAACTTAAACCACAAGCATATAAGCTAGTTTATTAAAAAGCAATAATTAAAAATATATCTTAAAATTCAAGAAAGGTGTGAGGTTCAGTAACAGCTCTTTCTGTGGACAACAGTGAGAGTGTAGGAAGAGAAAATTTAACAGTCTGCCTGGAAAGATAATGAGAGGAAAGACATGATCCATGCTAATGTGGTTTATGTCCCTCCCCAGTTCCTGAAAGCCTCCATTTATTCCTGTGGCAATTAGGAGTCATCATCACTGCCAGTTATATTTTTGCACTGAGTGAATGCAAGGTCATTTCCAAAAAATTCTGTATTGGATAAACCCAAAGTTTGGGGTGCAGTGATTTTCCTGTGAGTGTTTGCTGGGGTGGCCACAGCCTGCTGTGATTTGAACACGAGCCACAAAGTCTCTTCCAGGGGATTGCAGGAGGCAGGGCTGTGTCCCTTCCCTTATCCACAATGAGAATTTTTTGTCTCTTCCCTTGCTCACAATGAGAATTTGTGCCTCATTCCTCTCTCCCCAAGCTGAAACTCACCCCTGCAGCTCTGCACTCTGCCTATTGACTCAAATGAAGCTTGGTGTAATAAGATTTCAATTGTAATGACTCATTATGTCAACCTTTTCTGGTTTTTTTTGGCCAGTTTTTGACACAGTAAAGGTGCACAGAGTGCAGGCTCCTTCTGCAGAAAATCCCAGCAAGCTGGCAGTGGGTAAGTATTAAAAAATAAACTACTGTGGAAACTTCTCCCAAAATCTTAGCATGACCAGAGGTCCAAAAGGATGATTTGTGTGAGTGTCCTTATTACAGCCATTATCATCAGTTCCAGATTTCCTCCTGAATCCATCACATTCAGATCCTCCCTGGCTTTTAGTGGGACCAGACTCTCTTATTTATATGAGCCTGAGGTGGAATGATTTCAAACTATTATTTTTCAAGATTGTTTAAACATTCAGCCATGCACACTCACACAGAGAGCTTTTTCTAATAATCCTTTTATCAGCCTGAAGCTGAAACAACTTTCTTTCTTGCAAGGATCTGTTATGGAGAGTTTCTTATTAGTAACTAGATGCTGACATTGATTTCATTAAAAAATAAGCACAGTCCCCAAGAGCTTTTGATTTGTTTTTTTTTAATTGCATAACATGTAGAGTATAAACACAAACTGCTTTGCTCAGAACTGTACCTCTTTAATTGCCTGAATTAAAAGCATTTCTGGAGCAGCAGTTTCTCTCATTTTTGGTACCCACTGGTTACCAAGGTACCTCTGAAACTGCTAAATCTGACTGGGGCTGAAAGTGATGTGGAAAAATTATCATTTTTATTTAAAATTATTGCTATTATAATTATTTGTGTGTGCTCTGTAAAGAGTGTTCAAAACCATTGTTTTACAGTACCAAAGTAATGGCTATTCTGTGCAAGATCAGCTGTAGGTAAATATCTTTTCTTACAGGGAAGTAAAGGAATAACTGTGTCTTGAGACACCATTTAGTGACCAGTGACAAACAGATAAATTTTGTAAATTTACACCAAAAAAGTAAAGTGATTCTAAGCCCAGAGTGTGGCTCTTTTGTGTCATCTTTTTAAAGACAGAGGTTAACAAAAGTCTTCAAACACATCAGAACTCTTTATATGATTCCACATCAATCTACAGAGGCCAATTCTCTGTCTGGCTTCTAAATTCTGCTGCTCCCTATTTAAATATCCATAGGAAGCACGAGCAGGCTGCTCTCCTACTCATTTCTCATCTGAGAATTTAATAGCAACAGTTCAATGATTTAATACTATAAGAAGGTAGGTTGGGGAAGTGGGAGGAGGATGGAAAATTGACAGAAGAGTGGGAATGAGAGCTGAACTTTAAAGCTTCTTGTAGGACATCACTGTAGCTCTTCTGACTCTTTATTTGCACTCTTGCTTCTCTTAAGAATCCAAATATTTACAAGGCTGTATTTGAAAGCCAGAGAAGAGGTAAATATCAATATTTGATAGCTGGTGTCCTTCTCCCTGCTCTCCCCTAATGCTGTCAATGGACAAACCCCATGTCAGTGGCTCTTCATTTCCCCAGCTCCTCCTGTACCTTCCTCATCCTCACAGAAAACTTTTTTACATTTCAGGATTGGTTGGCTTTTGGTTTTTTAGCTTTTTTGTTTTTTGTTTTTTTTGCTGGCAGCTCTTCCTGCTCTCATTAGTACATGAAAGTCTAATTGTGCTGGGCAGATCTGTCCTGGCAAGCAATTTTGAAATTATACCTGAAACAGAACTAGGCATCATTAATTCTATTTTTTAGGTAATTTTTTCTCATGTGAATGATGTGTTTTGCTCCTTACCTAAAAAGACACAGTTGTTTTTTTAAGGCTTCTGCACTGTGATATCAATTAAGGTATATAAAATATATAATTGCAACTAATTAGAGACCAGTGAGAAAATCCATCTGAAATTTATAGACATTGTTACAGAAGAATCAAACAATTAATTTATGCTCAATCCGGTGGCTGAGTATCCAACTTGTTTCCTCTGTTTATTTTTGTATCAGTGTCTTAGTTCAGGAGCAGGTAGGGAATATATCCATACCTTTTACTTCTTTTGTAGAATTAGCTTAAAGGAAAAGAAGAAAACCACTGAAACATAGGATTGCAGACTTGCCATTGTTTTTTCCTGAGAGGATCATAAATTATTTAAAGTTTCTTCATCTTCAGAATGCCCAGATGAATGCTCTGAGATATTCAAAGGCTAGAAGCTGAAAGATTATACAGGTGATTCAATAATTCTTGGTAACAACAACAAAAAAATCGTGCTTTATTTTTTATATTTTAGATATGATGGATTCATTTTTCTCTCTTAATTTTCCTCTGCATCAACAAATGTTTTAGGACATATCAGTATTCAATATAACCATAGCTGAAATGCAAATGTATGGGATGATTCCATTTTTAGTTTCCTTGGAAATACTTTTTTTTTATTATATTCCTCATGTGAACATTGGTAATTAAGTCAGGCATTCATATTTTTTCTATGACTACTTTTCTTAGTGCTTATTTAAGAACTTTGTTTGCAAAATTGAATACTCAAGTTTCCTTTTCAACCCTTGTATTGATTTTCTTTTGTCTTTCAACAAACAAGCAGCAACCTGTACTCAACATGGAAAAAATAACAAGCAGGCAGTGCTCAAATAGCAAAATCAACATTTTTGTTCATCTTGTAATGAATACTGTGAGCAAGCCAAGATCCAGCTCTAGCCCAGTAGAAAAGCAGGAGCCTTTATTTCTTGAGCAGCAATGATATCATCAGTAGGTAGGGGGAGAGGGTTCCTAAAAAATAAGAAATAAATTCAAATGGAAGCTCTTTAGGCTTTTCAGCAGGTGTTAAAAACTTGAATTCAGGCACCTGTCCCAAAATTAGCTGCAGAAATGTTAATCCAGCAAATGAACCTCGTTTCTAAATGCCCATTGCTGCTCCAGGGCAGAGTGGAGCTGTGCTCCAGCCCCAGGTGTGTCCCCTGGCAGGTACAGGTGGCATTTTGGCCATCCCAGAGCTCTGGGTGCCCCAGGGGTGCTCAGGGGGTCTCTTGGTGTGAGCTGAGTCCAGAGCTGCTGCCCTGGGGATGGGCAGGGGGACACCAGAAGAGAGGCTGAGATGTGGAGAGCAGTTTTTATCTTGGAGAGGAGGAGGCTCAGGGCTGGCCTCATCACTCTCACAACTCCCTGAGAGAAGGGGACGGCCAGGGTGGGCTCTGATTCCAGGCAAAAAGTGATGGAAGGAGAGGACACAGCCTCAGTCTGAGCCAGGGGAGGTTCAGGCTGGACATTCAGGGGAATTTCTTCACAGAAAGAGCTGTCAAACATGGGGAAAAGCTGCCAGGGCAGGTGGTGAAGTCATCACCCCTGGAGGTGTTTAAGGAAAGCCTGGACGTGGCATTTAGTGCCAAAGTCTGGGTGACAAGGTGGTGCAGGGTCAGAGGTGGGGCCTGATGGCCTCAGAGGTCTTTTCCAACCTAATTGATTCTGTCAAAGCCTTCCAAGGTCTGATAAGCTCTGGGGACTGCCTGGCTGAACCTGCAAAATGGCTAAAGCAGCAGGTGTGCTGAATTTGTCCAAAGCCAGCAGTGCACAGCAGCGTCAGATGCAGCCCAGGAGGTGTTTTATTCAAACCCAGAGACCACACACAGCCCTGAGCCTCTCCCACACTGACCTAGAGGCTGCTGCTGTCACTGTGGCTTTCCACATGGCTGGAATGAGCTTTTTGGGGGAGTGCATGGAGAAAAGATGAAGGATGGAGCCCTCAATGGGTTCTGCTAACGTGGCTGCAGAAATCCCCCTCTCCCTGAGGGAATTCATTTCCTGACCATGCCCATCCATTATCCCCTGCCTGCCATGAACACCCAGGATTTGCTTCCTGTAAGAGCTTTATGGGCCTTCAGTTCATGTTAAGATTAAAAGGGTCAAATTCTTTGGTGTTTCTACAGTGCAAAGGATTCTGATTTTGTTTTGATTTGGGTTTTTTTTTCCCTTTTAAATCTCAGCCTGAATCAGAAGGAATCATCACTGGATCATCACTGGCTATAATGCATCACCATTGACTTCATGAAGCAATTTCTCTTGTACAATTTTGCTAGTCCAGGCACTCTAGCTTTTATTTTAATTGAGTTTGTTGATAAATCTGTCATGACACGCTTTCTCTATATGATCTTCCTATAAAACAATTATTTCTACAGAATAAAATTCATTCCATGAATAGGATTAGAACAAGGTTTGTGCACTGTTTAATCACGTATTCAGCTGGTTTCTAACAAGCAGTAGCAATGACTTAGATTGGCCCTCTGTTCATTTATGACTTTCCCATTAACATTTGCAAAATGGGCAACGAGAAAAAAAAAACATATGTTGAAATCACACAGTTCAGCAAATGTTTTCATTAAACATTACTGACTCTGCTGCTGTTGAAATGGAATATTCTTATCCAACCCATGAATCCAGTAAATAAACACACAACTGCCTGTGTTGCCTTTTGCATCAGAATTTGAGTTTCCACACATTCCTGGTCCCCAGGAGCAGGAAGGAGCAGAGTTTCCTGCTGGGGATGTGCTGTGTTTCGTCAGGCCGTGTCTCAGCACATTCCTGTCACTCTGGAGCTGAGCAGATGTGACACAAGGTGACAGACTACCCTGTGCTGCTGCAGTGCCAGCCCCTGCACCAGGCAGATTGGAAAATGCAGTGGCTGGGAGGCAGGAAAATACCAGAGCAACAGCTCATTCTCTGACAGGGAGTCAAATAAATGGAGTTCACACACTCCTTCGTTGTAAGAAAAAAAAATAAATAAAAAAAATTAACTCTCTTACTATCATGAGAATAATAATTATTTGCCATTCTTTTTGTTTTGGCAGCAAGCAATTATCACCTTCTACAGGTCTGAGGCAGACAGAGACTCCAGAGTACAGTAGAAAGGAAATAGTGACTAAGGTGTTAACTGCATTTAAGACATTTTATTCTTTTTATGGATTTCAAAAGTGGGATCCATTCTCCCTTCCTGAATTCTGATTACGATGATTTTTATTTATTTCTTTTCAAATGTGAATGCTCCTGGCTTCCTTTGGCATATTTCTAGATAATATGACTGCTTTGGTTATTGCAGTGGTACCTCTCATGTCTCTGACCACAATACAAGATGTTTCATTTACTTAAAGCTTTCTTGATGCTATCGAACTGAGAAAATTTA